AATTTTGAATCCTCACGGCTTCAAATCTCACCTCTCTCTCAACCCTCTCTAAACCCTTATCATTCTCACGATGTTGCTCCAGAGCGGTGTCATCCTTCAGAGCGATTTCGATTTCGAAGCTCCACCGCCACCACCGGCGAGGTAGCGAGCACAATCGGCGAGCGATTTTGATTTCGAATCTCCAGAGCGGCGTCTAGATCTCTCTCTTCATCTTTGAGATTCAGAGATTCAGATCGGTCTCAATGATTTCATCTCAGAGCTATTTCGATTTTGAAGTTCTCTCTGTCGATTTCCAAACTCCAGTGAGGTATCGATTTCTCTCTCTCTCTCTCTTTCTCTCTCTCTCTCTCTCTCAAGCTCTTCCTTCTCGTCTCTCTCGATTTGGTATTTATTTGCTTGGAAACCTGTTCAATTTCTTCTTTTGTTTGCTTTGTCATTCTTCCTCACTATGTTGTTTTTTGCTTTGAGAAAATGCCAAATGTGATTGTGATTATGACATTTGTTGGATTTGAGATCATTGACACTCGTATGGTTAAAATCTGGCTGGTAGCTTAGCCAAACGCTGGTAATTTGTTGCAGGAAGATTAGATTTCTGATAACTAGTTGAATTTCAGTTGTGCAGTTAGCATTATTAAACTGAATTTATCTTCTTATTGAGTCAATGGCCTGTTCTGAATAATCTTTTTTGACTCATTCTGTATTCTGTTATCATTTTCATTTTTCATTTTGCCTTAATTGCCTACTTTAATGTCTGGACTTTTACTAGTAAATGCAAAAAATCATCTACCACTCTTTCAAATATTGTTAGGTATTTGACATCTCAACTCTACAAATAGAAATAGAACAAATACAGGTGCTGCATACTACATACTCATCAAGTGTGCAACTCATCCCATTGCCTAGTTTAATTGAAGCACTTGAGGAATTGGATTTAAACAATGCAACTGGAGGCCTTTAAACAATGAATGTTTTATATTAGAATAACTCATAAAATAATCATTATTCAGAACGGAGGGAGGAGTGAGCTAGGGTTGACATGTCCTCATATTAGAATGACTGATGGGAATTTATTTTGGTCTTGTAGCATTTTTCCCCCTCTTTCCTTATGACCTGCTACTGGCTAGGGCCTTGTTTGATGAACATTCCCCAAATTTTTGTATCCATGTTGGGTTTAGCAATGCAATGTAAATAAGGTCAGCAGTTAGACAGTAAAAAGCTGTCTAGATGGAGAACTCCACATAAATGTTGCCTAAACATGTAAACATCATATTAAGGCTCTGTTTTTTCGACTAAAAAAACCACTATTTGGGTATTTAAGCCCCCAAAAAAAAAGTTTGTTTTTCGGCTTAAAAAGCTAACAATTGAAAAGAAAGAAGCAACTAAGAGACTTTTCTACTTCAGCAACGCTTCAGGTAAGTTGTCCTTACATGCAGAATTCAATGTGTCATCTTTTCTACTTCAGGACTTTGCAATTATTTACGATAGATTCTTATTTCAGGGAATTGACATTAAAGAAATGCTTGTAGGTGCATCATTGATGGATGAGGCAAATAGGACCACTGTGGTAAAGATTTATTATTCATTCTCTTATTATTATTACTATTATTTTTAAGTCATTATTGTCTTCTGATAGTAGTTTTGTTACTTGAGTAGCCCAACTATTCTCGTCTTCTCAAGCAACTGAATAATGGACTTTCTACAATTGTGGGAAATGCATTTTCATCTTCTTCACTTTCTTCATCTTCTCATTCTTCTCCTCCATATTTCTTTTTTCTGGCCTTGCAAGGATGGTCCATCTCTTTCTCGCTATACAAAGGTATTGTTATATGTTGAGGTGTGTGTCCCCCACAATAGTTGTGTACCTTTTGTGTGGTCCATTGAAATTAAATATTATATACAAAAAAAATAGGCGAGGAATTGGTGTATTTGCAAAGGTTATTTTTCTTGCATTGTCAACAAAATGGGAGTGGGTGGAGATGTTCATTGGTGTAAACTAATCATGAGGGGGAAATTAAAGTTAAAAATTGGTTGGTTCTGTTTTAAAAAATGATTAATCAAATCAGTTTGGATTTACTTATTCATTATGAGAAAGCTGTTCCGTTAGACCATTATCAAAATTGCACAACCCACTCAAATCTTTCACTGAACGAGTCTTGTTTTTCTATTTTATTCAGAATCTTAGATCCTATGATAACTTGGTCTTTTTTTATTTTGAAAAATTGGATTCATTGTATTACTAGGAAAATTAGTGGGGCGTAATGCATTTTCGCAAATTTTATGTCATTCCTAGATAGTTGGCCCTTGTTTCTGAGTCATTCCTGTAATTGAATGATGAAATTCTGGAAGTTTCATATCTTGCAAAGCCATAAGATATGTATCTGGTTCAAAATGCAAAGTTTAGTTTGCTTATCCCTCCATGGCTTCTAGTTAGTTCAAGTGTTCTTTGCATAGTTTTTGTAGTACTTGGACTCTAGGTATTAAAGGCACTGTTATGCACATTCCTCTAGTGTTAGTATTCTTTTTCATATATGAATTGTAGAGACTGTTAGTCACAGATGCATCTACAAAATTTTGGGATGATGCTCTTCAATCTTTTTGTTCATTTAACGTTCTAAATTATACATTCTGTTTTTAAGCTTATATTGACTATCTTATGCATTTGATATGCTTTGTAGTCATGCAATTCTTAGGTATCTTGCTTGTGCATTTCCTGGAGTAGTTGATCACTGGTGAGAATTGTTGCTTCTTTTTTGCAATTAGTGTGCCTATAAAGACCTGTGTTATATCAGTACTTCATATTGTGTTAGATACCAATTTCAGACATGAGACAACATGGCATGGGTGTATGTACACATACCCTACAGTTTTGTCTGTCAAGACTTAGGGAGCACATTCTTGGTTTCCTCAGATTCCTTACAGTATGTTAACTCAATTTTAAAATGAGGGAAGACACCTACTTCCTGTAGTTAAGCTTGGTGGTGTTCATACCCTTGAATCTGGTTCAAGTTTTTCTAGGAGCTCGGAACTATATGAATTTGAAACTTAGCTAAACAGTAACCTTCTATAACTTGCCCATTTTTGAAAACTGAATTTTCCATATATGATATCCTGTCTCATGAACACTTCAGCTTCCCAGGGTATAGGAGAACCAAACAGGACAAGTTCAACAATTTTGCCATGTTTCTATCCTAAAATTTTAAGGTTTGATAAATATGAGATATGATGTTCACTTAACATACTTTTCATTTTTTTACAAAATGCATGTCTATTTCACCTGTGGTATTCATTGCACATCCCAAAGCTGTTATGTACTTGTGTCTCATATTTGATTCTAATATTTATATTCTGCAGCCTGGTTCTTAACAATGTTTTCTGTTCATTTTTAAAGGTGTCTGATCTATTCAAAAGGTCAAAGATTGAATCAGTGTTGGACTGGCATCACTCTAATTTACGCTGTGGTGCAGGTATTTTATTCCCAATGTTTTGGTATAGTAATTTTTCACCCTTTTATTTATATTTTCTAAGGTCTATGTCGTTCTTGATTGAGCTTTCCTTTTCAGCTACTTATGTTCTAAATACTACGCTTGCACCTATGCTTGGCCTTCAATTGAATCCACAAGCTGCTGTTGAAGGTGAAAAACTATTGTTTGCATCACTTGTAAAGATTGAATCTTTTTGGTTGAAGGGGAATGGTCGGTTTTTGCTAGAAAGCTCTCAGTAGTTCGAGTGGAGGTATAATTATTCTCTCACATCAATTAAAAGTCTTTTATTTTGCCATCTTGAGATTGAAAATCCATAAAAGCTTCATGAAGTTTGAAAAAGCAAGTTTTGCAATGTATCTTGTTAATATTAATTAACCTTTAGCTTTTTGTGTGCTCAAAGCCTTGGAAACCTGCCTTTTCCAATAACATATTTATTTTTAAGTTATTATTATTGTATTACTATTTAGTAATACAACCTTGCTTTGGACTAATTGCTAATAGATAGGGAATCTTGATTAGAATAATTATGGTTGGTAATGACTAGGTTCTGAGCTGAGCCTATTGAAACTCCATGGCCAACAACTATATAGATGTCGTTTTGGTTATCTTGTCTATTACACTGAAAAAAATTGTGTATATGTGTATTTGTCATTGTGGCCTTAGGTCGTGTCCGACACTTGCTCAAAATTTTACTCAAATTTGAGTAAAAACTTTATTTGATATGAACTACTCTAATGGACCTAATGCCAAGACGAACCTTCCCAATTCCTTCCAAACTTTGTCTAACTTTGCCACAAACCTCTGTATCATCTTCGTTGCGGCATCTAGAACACCGGGGGCCTCCCAAGGATGGGCCACCCACCTTGCAAATTTTGTTGTTATTTTGCTTAAATTGTGTGGATTTTGTACCAAGTGTTGTTTCGCTGATGCGATTTTAGACTAGTTCGAATTATGATTTTTTTGTTATTTTGTTATTTTGCCAAGAAAATAAAAAAAGAAAAGAGAGAATGGAAATATCATAATCATCATTATTGTAGACTTGTAGTGATATTCATTAATAATGAAACTTGTAAATCTAAATATAGTTCATTTTATTTTTTGGGAGTGAATTCCAGTGTTTGTTGATTATAATATTTTTATTTTTATAGTTGAATTTCGGTGAACTGAAAATCGTGTGAATTGCATATAGGTATTGCTTGTTTTAATTTCTTTCATATTTGGAATTGAACTTAACTAAAGTGCACTGCTGTGTAAATCTGTTGAATCATGGATTTTACCTACGTGAATTTTGTGTTTCTGACACACATATAGTGGCTAGAAGGTACGAAACTGTTATATACGGGGATGATATAGTATATCACAGCCCGGGGAGGAGGGAGGGGGGAGGGGTTGTTATCCAACAAAATTGCTGGTTAGTTAGATTTATAGACTAATGGCATGGGCATTGAACTTGGTAGGCATTCTCTCATTCCTATATTGAGATGCTTTGTAATTTCTTGTTTGTTTTATGCCATGGATGAAGGGCATTTTACTTAATGTTAAGACCACAGTACCAACTTTTGTTTGTCTCTTTGTGTAGATCATACTGCCATGCCATGTTAGGCTTCTTTCTTAGTCTATTGACATATTTGTGGAAGAAAAAGGGTAAACCACAAAAAAATAAAAATGCACTTAGTTTATGAATTATGATTGTTTGTCTTAGGTTTCTTCACCAATTCTCATTGTCAAGAGAGCAGGGTTTTATGCTTGGACACACAAAAGCTGGAGAGTTCGAGAAGAGTTTGCACGTACAGTCACATCAGCGATTGGTCTTTTTGCATCTACTGAGCTCCCTCTTCAGCGTGCTATTCTTCCTCCAGTATGGTCATTTATTATGTTTTGACGGTAGAATAGATACCTTACTTATTCTACATTAAAAAGAGAGAGAAACTTACTAGGTTTTTTTTAATTATCAGATTTTGCAAATGTTGAATGATCCAAATCTTGTTCCCTCCTCAGGAGATGTATACTCGGGCTGGGCCTCAGTTTCGTGATGAACTTCAGCGTCATCATCTTCCCACATCACTGGTGAGATAAAACCTGCTAACCTTAATCCCAAAAGGAACAGTCCAAAAGCCAAGAATTCCACTCGGGAGGTGTCTCTATTTGCAGGTTTATGTGCTTCAATTTAAAACTTCACAAATATTTTGGTGGTTGTTGACAAATTTATGAATTCATATGAAAAGGTCTTTCTCCATATCTTATATTTTGTTATTGCCCATTCCTACTTGGTAAGATGCATTGCATTACTGTATGCATCCAGTAGTTAAATATCTAAGACTATTTTTACTAGTTATTACTGTAAATCTCCTAGAGCTACCATACAACTTAAGTCTCTTATTGAATGATAGGTTGTGGATTCGCTTAGTAGTCATCCCATTGTTCGGCCAATGCCACATCAGCAACAATCTCATACATTTTCATCTCAAGAAGTGAACAATCATTTAATCAAAGCCTTTTTGACAATACAAGACCTTATTAGTTAAAATACTTGTTCTTATTAAATGTAGGTTCACCTTTCAAAGAAAGAGAAGAACAAGAAAAAGAAGAACTAACAAGGTAAAAGTACCTACATCACAAGTTTTTAATTTCTGAACTTTCTAAATCGATTGGATCTGTTGCTGCCTATGCTTTCGAACTAGATGGGATTACTTACTCATGCTGAAAATTTACTCTTGGAGATGAAATAATATCGTTATATGCAGAATTGTGAATCTGGAATAAAAACTGATTAATTAGAACTGCTGCTAGAAATGATACTTTTGGACTGTTTGTTTCTCTTCTGATGGTGAATCACAGGTAGTATGAACTTGCTGATATTGGCTTGTTTTAAAATGGTAAAAGATTTGCATAGTGCTTATTCTTCCTATTTTGGGACTCTTTTTTTGCTCATTCACTCTGATTTTTCCTCCTTTTTTTTATTATTTATTTTTTAAAATTTATTGTACTGATTGCTGCTATGAACCTGGTAAACCTTTTATTACTAGATTCATTTTGAATTGTTGTGCTGTCATTTTCTTTCTTCATGTGAGCATGTGGTAGAAGATTTTGTTATCTGCATTTTGGTTATTATATATAGTCAATTGAATTTGGTGGTTGCTTGGATGATTTTCATCATCTAGTTCCTAATTATTTTTTTACTGTGTAACGGTTCTCTTGGAAATGATGACCATTCCTTGGCAAGAGATTGCCATGACCATGTTAAAGTGGCAATAGTATATGACAGTGTGATCTATTCGTTGGCAAGAGATTGTCATGACGATGACTATTCCTTGGCAAGAGATTGTCATGACCATATTATGCCAGTGATTACAGGGTTTTTGGAGTTAAAATTGAACTTTTGCATGAATAGAGTCAGTTTTTCATTAAATTTTCAACGAACTACCTTCCAGTGTGATCTAGCATCTTGTGTCTGTATAATTGACTTGGTAAACATCATGTTTACACTGCGCTTGAACCTTACAGGTGATTGCTTTTAGTGATGAGGAGGGAGTGAGATTTCAATCTACTTTCTTACTAATTGGTTGTAACGCTGCTTGTTCTAAGTAAACTGACAAGTAGACTTTGTTCAGTGGTCTGACAGTGCAAAATGTTCTAAAAGAGAACTCTATAGAAATTTCCGAGGAAAGCTTCTTTGAGCTAAAGTATGATCCGGAGTCTGTTTGGGGTTATATCGAGGTATTCAGTCCATGTTGAATATCCTGTGGTTATTCAAGCTACACAACTTTCTCCGTTTGGTTTCAATTTGGGAATGTTTGTTAAAAAAATTTCAAAAAAAATTAAACACTAGTTTGGTGGGGGAAAAAAATGAAAATATCTTAAACACTCGTCATTTTCATATGTTTTTCTCTTTTGTACTGACTTTATATTTTAGGCAGTTCATATTAATATTTGGAAGAGTATTGTAATATTTTTCAGATTTGTATTTGCATTCATGTTAACACAAAATGTGTGTTTTAGTTGCCTTTGTTACTGATGGTGTGGCGTGTGTAGCTACTTTTCTCTTTGTGCTTTGGCATTAATATTCTTAGTAATCTTTTGTAGCTTATTTTGTGTGTGAAATGGGGGAGTGGTGAGAGAGAGAAGAGGGTAATGTCATTTTGTGGCTTTGTATACAAAGTAGTAATTTTGTGATTGAGAATTGTGAATTCAATTTTTGGATATGTTATTTTGTGGGTAACGGTGATTTGATATTAAATTGAATGGGAAAGTGAATTAATGTCGCATTTTTGAATGGGAGTTATTATTTCATATTAGTGCTATTCAATTTTATTATAGGTATTCTTTTAGTTCAATCACATTAAATTAGCACAATTTCAAAAAAAAGAAAAAAAAGATGACAAGGCATTTTTAAAAATGCCACGGTTGGAATTTTTTAAAATTAAAAAAACCTATGACGGCATTTTAAAAGCGTCGCTAAAGTCAGAGTGGCGTCACAGTACTGTTAGGATAGGACATTTGGCGGCGTTTATATAGCGACGTTTTCCAAATGTTATAAAGCTATAGCAACAGCCGCATTGTCGGCGTTTGGTACTAAACGTCACAAAAAGAATTAGTGACGTTTTTTTACACTTATAGCGGCATTTTTTAAACGCTTCTAAATGTGTATTTTCTAGCAGTGCTTGAAGTAACCAAGCCAGCTCAACAATATAGGCAACTTAGCAGTTTGCCTAAGCTGCACCAATAATTTCCTTCTTGCCAAAGGCCCCAACTGTCCAAGGCCCTAGAGCCTAAGGCCTCATTTTGATGCTTGGCCTAGGGCTCAAAAAACCTTAGGCAACTACTATGAAGTAAACCACCAATTCATCAAGCTTTGTAAGTTACCTGGAAAACTTGCATGACTGATTACACAATAACAACAAATGAACTGTTGTTTCAACCTCTGAATCGAAAAAAAAAAAAAAAATCTCTTACTACTAACAGACAATGGTAAAACTTGCATGACTAATTACACAGTAATAACAAATGAACTGTTGTTTCAATCTCTGAAAAAAAAAAAAAAAAAAAAAAAAAAAGGAAAGAAATGATCAAACACAATGATGCCATAGACTCAAGTAGTACTTCAAAGAACAAATGAGAAAGAAACAAATTTAATGTACAAGCAATTATCATCCAAAAACCTTTTAGAATATTTACAGCACAAATTTAAATGAATAACCATAAACCTTCGGAAGAAAAAGTAGAAGCGCAATCCCAAAGCTCTCCTCATAACAGATGCAAAAAGAGTTTACTGAAAATTAATAGCCCATTCTTTTCACCTTTTCAGTGAATACCATCCTCCTTATGAATGTCTATTTCACATTGTCTAAAATTCTCTGCGATTCTTTTAAACAATCCTCCTCCCATACAAATAGCTGTCTCCTAAATTCCAATCTCCACCTCTTACTTTCACAGTCATGAATAAACACTCCAGCTGCACTGTCAAGTTTTCCATTGAAAGTGAAAAATAACCTAGGAAAATTTTGCATTAATGATTTGTCACCAGCCCAAATATTAGTCCAAAACTTCCAATTTAATCCATCTCCTATCTTCAACAGCATATTACTCATATATTCTCTGGTAACCATAACTTTTCATCTCCGATGTACTACTTATAAATTTTAATATCTTCAGTACTAATAATTCTTTCTTTTCTTTCCCAAACGTCCACCACCATTTTGTCAGTAAGGAAACATTTTTTATTCTGATGCCACCACTAGCCCCAAAACTCCATTATAGCAGAAATCTTTTTCCAATTCACCAAGTGAACTTTCCTTTTTTCAGAACAAAGGAAAGTTATGGTTTGTTAATCAAATGATTGACATGCAGAAGTAATGTGGATGATCAGAGTTAAGCTTTTATCAAGGTTGAAGTAGATGAAGCATTAACAACAAAAACAAAGCCAATTAAATCTGATGTTGAAACAATATCAGCAACATTATCGGTTATCATAGTAAAGAAAACGACCACATCACTCCACAATAACAGATACATACTTCTTAATTATGTTATAGAAAACCAAATGTTCTTTTTTTAAAAAGCAAAATAAAATATTTTATTGACGAATAATGTAGTACAAGCAGTACAACGAAATTATATCAATAAAAGATGCACATTCCAACTAGAACGGCATATGCATCAAGCAAAACATAAACCAAACTCAGGCCAAGCCAAACAAACTTGGCAAGACAACAACACCAAATATAATATTCCCAACTTTTCATCTAGAGCCAAACACACTCCTATGTTAAACTCCATTTAGGATATCTAAACCCAACTCCAAACTTGATGGTAGGTGTGACCAAACACCCCATTTCAACACAAAAAAAAATAGAAGTGCAGATTTTTTTTTCTTCATTGTCTTCATTCTTCATTCTCTAACTTCTCTCTACTTTCTCTCTCATTTTCCTTTACTTTCTTGGAGGCCAAACACCACACCTTTGCTCCACCCTTACACCACCACCTTGACCCACCATCTCCACCACCTCCGGCCACCTTATCTCGCCGGAAAATGGGTCCGGTCGGCACTCCTTGAATCCATCCGAAAATAACACAATAGAAGCACAAACTCTAGATTTTTCTTAATCTTTTGAAGAATCAAAGCATGGGATTTATTTTCTTGATGGATTAGAGGCTTGTACTTGGTAAGAATCTTTCTCTAAAAGTTTAGTTTAAAGTTTTACATATTTTGAGTTAGAGATGATGAAATTTTTGTGTTTTAGATCTATTATGATTTGGGGTTTGCTTGTTGAATTTTATACTCTCAATTAGTTTCCATGAATGTTTTACATGTTTAAAAAAAAAATGGTCAATTTGATGGTTGATTTGGAGATTTAGATTTTGGGTTAATCTAGGGTTTGAATGTGATGTAAAAATTGGGGATTTTGGTGTTAGGGAATTTATATGTTGAAATTGAGTTGATAAATGATGGATTGGGTATCTCTATGTTCTATGGAGGAATTTTATAAGTGATTGAAGAGATTTTACTTAAGTTGTTGAGTTTATACAAAAATGTTGATTTTTGACTTTTGTAGTAAATTGATGGTGGTATTGTGCATATAAATTGATTGGATATTTAAAAAGTTACTAACTCAAAGATGTTCAAAGGATGGGTGTTATGGAGATTGGATAAGTTATTTGTTTGGGTGACTTAAAGTTGGAGGAGTTCTTTAGCTTGCCATTCCTTAGCATAATTTTATTTAGGATCATTTTTGTAGATGTTGTAATTTTCATTGAAAGCTTTTCCTAATTTGAGATCCTATTTACTAAATTGTTAGGATTGGAGGAAGGCATATCTCCACCTCTTGGAAATTAAACGGGTTGTCCATCTACCAGATCTTCAAATCGATGGAGTCGACGACCTCTTGTCCAGAGTGCTTGGGGAATATCTGCTTGGTTGGGAGCAATTGTGCTAAACTACCTAGAAAGAAGATAAATAAAGCAATAATAAGGAAATAAACAACCAGAAAGCAGATAGCATAACGGGTTAAATAAACACAACACACAGTCGGGTATAAAAACACGCAGTTGATAAGCTGAATACACTGTTCTCCAACACTGATCATTGTTCCCAAATTACTGCCCCCAAATCTGAATCTGATACCCGCAGATAACTGATAAGAGAGAGATTTATTTATGGGGAAAAAAATTAAATTATCTATAAGTTATGAAATTAATTTTTTTCTCATTAATCGTTTAATTTTTATCTTTATCTGAAGACTATAAATTAATTTTTTAGTTTTTATATGTTTATCTATATGGAGGATTCTCATTCAAAGTCAACCAATTTCATTATTAATAATCTTCTCATTCAGAGCCAATAAATTTTTTTTTAATCTTTATCACTTTGTAGATAATAACGAATAATAAAAATTATCAAGAATGGTTAAGAATTTAATGGGAGATAAGAAGTTATAGATAATGGCATTTCATAAGATAAAAATTTAAAATAAAAAAAGACAATATGTGATAGAAGGAGAAAAAAAATATGAGTAAATCAAAATAAAGATTTTGATATATATGTTTTTGATAGATATATAGATTAACAAATCATATCTTTATCTAATTTTATTATTTTTAATTTTTTTTAAATCAATTATTTAATCTATATAGAGGATTCTCATTCAAAGTCAACCAATTTCATTATTAATAATTTTCTCATTCAAAGGTAATAATTTTTTTTTTAATCTTTATCACTTGGTAAATAATAACGAATAATAAAAATTATTAAGAAATGTTAAGAATTTAATAGGAGATAAAAAGTTATAGATAAGGGCATTTTATAAAGATAAAAATTTAAAATAAAAAAGATAATATGTGATTGAAGGAGAAAAAATATGAGTAAATCAAAATAAAGATTTAGATATATATGTTTTTGATAGATATAAAGACTAACAAATCATATTCTTTATCTAATTTTTATTATTTAATTTTTTTGTAAATCAATTATTTAATCTTTATCTTTATCTGTAGGCCACGAAATTAATCTTTATAAAATATCTATCAATTTTTATATGTTTATTTATCTATAAGTCATGAAATTAATTTCTTTAAAACATATTTTTTAATTTTTTTCTTTATCTATAGGTCATGAAATAAATTTTCATAAATTATTTATGAATTTCTATATGTTTATCTAAAATGAAATTAATTAAAGTACAAAATGAAAGGGGCAAAAAAGGAATAATTTCATTTTTTAAAATCAATTATTTAATCTTTATCTTTATTTGTAGGCCATGAAATTATTTTTATAAGTTATTTATCAACTTTTATTGTTTGTTTATGGGAATAAATTTTAAATTTATTTATAAGTTATGAAATTAATTGCTTAATATTTAATCTTTATCTTTATTTGTAGGCCATAAAATTATTTTTTATAAGTTATTTAT